CCGGGCTACGGCCCAGTGCCCAGTGCCCAGTGTCTGCTCCTTGGCTGGAAATTTATTTCGCTGTTTTTGCAATTTAAGGTAATTATTATGTACCTTTGGGGTAATTTTAACACCTCGACACCATCGACAAATATCATCTTGGGGCCCGCTGCCGCACTGCCTTGCTGTCCGTTCGGTTCGGTGTCCGTTTGGTGTCCGTTCAGTGTCCGTTCGTTGCCCAAGAAGTAGCAGCCCTGTTCCCAGCTATCAAGCAGCCCGAATCACAACAACCACAGCCAACAGACAAACGTTTCTTAGAAGCGCAAAGCTTTCAACACCTTCGATGCGTGCCCCAGAAGAAACGTATTTCCTCTTCCCCTAGTCCCAGTCCCGATCCCAGTCCCCAGTGCCAGTCCCAATGCGAGTCTCAGTCCCAGACCCAGTCGCAGGCCTCCATCGCGGGGCCCCTCATGGATAGCAGCTCTTTGGCCAGTTATTTTTCACACCTCGACAACATTTTTTCGCACTTGAGCCGCGTATTCGGTTACCACAACAATCAAGCATTGCCGCCACCGCTTCAGCTTCAGACAGCACTTGGCGAAAAATGTGAGACTTGCCTCAGATTTCGTGATTTTTATTCAATTTTGATGGAAATTGTTTCAACATTTAATTCTCACTTGCCGGTCTTCAGTATACAATCTTCAACCAATCCATCATGAATTTTGTTCTGTGGAAACTATAAAAGTATTCGTAAAAAGTTTTGAATTCTGCGGATTATGGACTAAGATGATAATTGAATTAGAGATAAATACATAAGAGAAAACAGTTTTAAAAATGTTCTAAATTTAGGTGAGAGGGCTATAAGTTTAAGGGATATTTTGGGAGACATGGTTTGGTACCTTATCTTTTATCTTTTATTAGGAATTGTATTCATTGATTCTGTATACATATATATGCATCCTTGTAATACTTCTAAATACCACAAAAGTTATGTTATTAAACTGAATTTCCGGGGAATATTCTTATGGGTCGACCACGCTTTTGGACTTCTTTCAGTGTACAATTCCGTTGCCGACTGCCGATTTTAATAACCGAAGCTCTCTGCTGTATGCTGTATGCTCTCTGCTCTGCTCGATTGCTGCTGATTTGCTCTGGCTGTTATCTCACTCAGCTCATCGGGCGGGATGTACGGCTGCTGCTGCTGCTTCTGCGGTTTGACTTTGACTTTGGTTTCGGTTTTTCGGGGCCTCGGGGGCCTTTGGGTTTGGGTTTGGGGGCCACAGCCACATATCCTGGCCGGCGGCTGTCAGCACAATTATCGCAAGTAGCGTGCGTGTAAATTACCGTTATTAGGTGTGATCGTGCCCCTGCAGAGCATCAACTTGCAACATCAGGCGGCCCCAGGATGATCTCAGCTTTCAGTTGTCCCAAGTCGATTTTCACTTCGCTTTCGTTTCATTTCTTTTCCATTCACAAAAAATCACCAACAGACTCCGCGTAACTGAAGGATGTGACAATTTCCGCTTTTAGATCTTGAGAGCGATATAAGGACCGAAGAACACCCATAAAAAGTCAAATTAATGTGATGACAATAGGATAGAGATCTGGATCGTGTCGCACCATCGGATGGGATCGCACCGATCTGACAGATTTCACGCTTACGATATCGATATCACCTTCGAAAACAGCAGCACCATCCAGTCAATAGCTCTTACTCGTACTCTTACACGCACTGCTCTCCGGTTTTGACGGCGACGGTGACCTACTACATCACGTCTTGCACGTACGTGAGGGGATTGCAGAGTTCAAAGTTGGTGTCAGAGTTCGGTAGCAGCCTTGCCTTGGATGATGTTTTGAATTCCAATTAGTGTTAATGAACAGCAAGCACATAAAATATATAATTAATTGTGTCAGGGCGCATATCCCCGATAAGGAGGCTTGTGGGATGATGCTTCCGTTTGGGAACTTCTGGGGAAACCTGGACCAGAGCAATAGGAATTACAGCCAAAACAGACGATCACTTGGGTAAATCCCACAGGTAAGATTACTAATTTAGCTTCTATACGTACCTGGCTTAGACCTCTGGTCCACTAGGTCGGATGATCCGAATGACACTGATTCGCTCTACAAATTTCCCATAAGCGAACGGGTTAATTCGCTTCGAAGACAAAAAGATACAAAGGGATTCGATATTTGTTAAGTTGCAATAGCAAAAGGGATATCTTTCACACACGTTTTGGGTTCAGAAGTTTTCAAATTGTAAGGGAAAAAATACAAACTGAAGACTCAGTACGATTTTTCCGAAGGAACATACCATTGATTGAAAACAGAAAATCTTCTGCTAAAGTGATTCTGTTGCTCATAGAACTGTGGTACGAGCAGTATTATTCCACTTCATCCCATCCCTTGATGAGAACAGGATTCTTGTAATAATGCAATGCGAGCGACAGATGGCGCTGCTGACATCCAATTAGAATGGTATGCGTGCCAGAGGGCGCTTCAACTCTCACAATGACAAACCTGTCAACCCTAGAGATCTGTTGATCCTGTTGATCATTTGAGTACCTGATCCTGGGTAGACAAAGGATCAACACTTTTTCACATTTCATTCGGTTTAATTAATCACTCGCCCCAGAGCGAAAAGAAGTCCGCGGCTAATTAAAATGCTACCAAAACAATTTTCATTTCCATTTCGGATCTGCTCGGATCGGCTCGGCTATGTTCGGATTTGTATGGGTGTGGATAGAACAAATTGAAAAAGGGTTGAATCCTGAAAGGGGGGCGTACAGGTGATGACGCAAACATTTTTCGATTCATTCAGTATATTAGAAATGCATTAGGATCAAACACCAATCATCAATCCCTTCCAACAGTGGCAGCTTTTAAAAAACGATTATAACGAAAGTGGTTCTGTTTTGGAATGTGGTTTTTCGATTATCCAGGTTGGTTCTACTCGTACCTTGAAATGGGTGTGACTCCGAATCCGAGTCGGCCACCAACTCCCTTTGCCGGCAGCTGCTTTGGGCCCATGTTAATCAAGGTTTTATTCGTTTATAGCCGCAATCTCGTTACCAGAACGAGCCCATCATCCCACCATTCCCTCCGATCCCGATTCCCCCTAACGGTATTCGTTCCTCGCCATGCATTTTCTGCCTGCCTCATCCTCATCTGCAACAAAGTTGGCGTTGGTTTCTGTTTCTGTTTCAGTTTTTTACACATTTATTGGCGGCTTTATGGCGGGGGTGGTGCGGCGCACTGCGGACCGAGAACTGAGGTCCACTTGTTACGGCCGATATAAATAGCCATGGGATATACCCGTATCCCATCATTGAGGTTGTTTTCGAAGGGTGGGATTAGGGAGGGTACAGATATACTTATGTAGGGGATCTCAAATGCTGTCAATATCAATGTCAAGCAGCTTCGTGACAAAGCCCCCGCCACTTGTTTTTTTTTTTTTTTCCTTTTGCCAACATACTCTTAAGTGTCATGATCAGCATCGAATATTCGATCAAGACTAGGTATATCTGTATAGAAATTGGCACGAAAACCATTTATATAAGGTATTTTTAGAGCTTGGATCATTTCGGAAAAAACGTGAATAATATTTCATTATTTGACGAGCTCCTTCTTTATTAATGACAGCATTTTTCTGGCTAATGCAACAAAATTTGAAAGATATGCGTTTTCCAGTCTTTGCGTTTGGAAAGGGTATCAAAAGCTGGCCATTCGATCGGGTTGTTGGATCTGCTTGGCGTCTTTTATATGCATGAGGGGGCACACACTTGTGGGATTTGTCTGCGACATTATCGTTGTTCTGTTGTTCTGTTTCTTGAGGCCTGGAGAATGGAGCTTATGGTAATATCGGCTCTGATCGGAAGCACGTGTCAAATGCGGCAACGAAAAAGAAGGGGGATAAGTTCTCCGATCCCAGAGGAACGCCAGAAGCGTAATCAAGGCCAACAAATATATATATATCGTACATATGTACATAAGTATATCTGACTGATATCTGAGCGAAGAAAGGGAGAAAGGGACTTGGTGATGGGAGATGGGCGATGGGCGATCGAGGCAGTGAAAGTGCACCGTGTTCCTCTTCATTTCATTTGGTTTCTTTTTTCCGTATCGGCTTCGTTTTCTTCGTTCTCACATGATGGATCACATTTAACATCAAGTTCCATAATGAATATTGTTCCATCTACGATCCCAAAAATATTTCTGCTTTCAATGCAAACGACATTGAGGACGATGGAACGACAAAAAAAAAAGTGGAAGTGCATTGAAAAGCGAGTCCTCTTTCTGGCTGTACTCCTCCACCTCCTCCATCGGATCGGTCGTCTCTCTCCATCTCCTTGGTTCTTTCTCCTGTTGCCCAAGGATCCTGGATCCTCCTGACAAGGATCGAGGCGAACAACACACAGACTTAAGTCTCGATTTCGATAGAGAGTTTCCCAAAAGAAAAGCAAAAGAAAAGGAAAATACATGCACAAAGACCAAGACAGTGTGTTGTCGTCCTACAAGTAGAATGAGAAAATACTCCGCTCGCTCGCTGGGGGAGAAATAAATCAAGTAGGAGAGGGTGTGTGCGAGAGAAAGAGAGAGAGGGAGAGAGAGAGAGATTTGCACCCTCTATAAGCAACCCCTAGGAGCATGAGCGAGCGAGAAGAACCGAGGCAGGACGGACTCTCCTGGGTTCCCCGATCCCCGATCGCTACACGATCCTCTCGATCCCCGATCGCTCGTTCACTTGTGCGCACAGGCCTAAGGGAGAGACCAAGACGAAGGGCAGGTAGCCGTAGCCACCACCACCAGCACAGCACTCTCTGACGCTGCCTTTCCCTCTGTTGCTGCCTCCGTCTCTGCCGCTGCCGCTGCCACTGCCACTGCCTCTGGCTCTGCCTGGGCCCCGCGTCAACAAGTACTTAAGGGCCCCGTGCAGGACGAGGTATATCATTGCGGAATCTGATTCCACACAGTCAACATCTCAGCAAGCTAGAGCAACTCCACTCCTCAAACGGATTACCATGACGAGCGTATGCAGCAGCTACCAGCACTATCAGCTGACCAACGGTAACATCATGCAACTGATGCACCACCAGCAGGGGCAGCAGCAGCAGCACCAACAGCTGATTGCCCCCAAGATGCCTCTGGGCAACAGCCAGCTCCAGAACATGCAACAGCACCAGCAGACAAGCAGCTCTGCCGGCCCCATGCTGTCGAAGAAGAAGTACAACAACTACAACCCAATGCCCTACGGAGAGCCGCAGATGCCATCGGTGGCACGCCGCAATGCCCGGGAGCGCAACCGCGTGAAGCAGGTGAACAACGGCTTCGTCAATCTCCGCCAGCACCTGCCCCAGACGGTCATCAATGCCCTGTCGAATGGGGGACGCGGCGCCAGCAAGAAGCTATCGAAGGTGGACACCCTGAAGATCGCCGTGGAGTACATACGCGGCCTGCAGGATATGCTCGGCGATGGCCAGCCCCGTCCCATCTACAGCTCCGGAGACGAGAGCAGCAACGATGGCACCTACAACGACAACTACAGCAGCCTGGACAGCCCCCAATCGCAGTTCGTTGTCGCCCAGTCCCACTCGTACCACTCGGCATCGCCCACTCCCTCGTACAGCGACGCCTCCGATGTATCGGCCAGCTACGTGAAGCAGGAGATGCCCGATCACCACGAGCACGATCACCAGCAGCACCACCAACACCAGCACCAGCATCAACTCAAATTCGAGTCCTTCGACAGCTTCAGCGACGAGCAGCCCGACGACGAGGAGCTCCTCGACTACATCTCCTCGTGGCAGGAGCAGTGAGAGTGCCCGAGTACGAGAAAAAGAGCCGGAGATCCCAGCGATCCCAGCAATCCCAGAGAGCAAGCCAAAAATACCCAATCCCCACATTGTACAAACTGTAAATATCGAAAATGTTGCCTTAGTGAGTGAAAAACGAAGAAACCAAGTCCCAGATTCTACATCTCTAGTTCGTAAGACCCGACCCACCAAAATTTTTTTTGGAAACTAGCATTAAGCATGGAAGACAATGATATAAAACCTTATTTTTTTGATAGTTCTAAGTTCTGTTATAAGCATGGAAGACACTAAACTATTCATAAGAACCAATTATTGATATTCAATAATAAAAACAAAACAAACAATCTCAAAACATAATTCAAAGGCAAATCTTTTTATTGAAAACCATTTACAATATTTCAGCAGTTGTTCACAGCAACAGATCGTATAATCTTCCAAAAGCATAAGAGAATACTTTCACTCATCGTCGCCAAAAAGGAGCAGACTTCCATCAGTTATTAAAGTTCTATCTGAAAAATTGAATGAATGACTCTTAACGATCAGTTGGTATACTAAATATAGAGCTATACAGATCCCCCACACCACAATCCTTTACGAAGGATAAAACAGACTGAGCTCTAAAGACCGTTTCGACCATAGTTAGATGTATATCCTATCCATTCTCTTATGTTCCAGATGAGATCACAAAGATCTCCAGTACTACTGAAGTACAACAGAAGTCAAGTGGCCGCGGCGTTTCTGATTGAGATCGTGGCATCAGCAAAGTTACACAGTATCTTATCTGTATAGATATGTGCATATTATTAATGACAGTCTGGGTACATCGAGTGGATATTCATATTTTATATGAAATACTCAATAAGTACCAAAAGAATCTGTAGGAGTCTATGAACAGTGATACTTAAAATAACTTGATATTCTAAGCTAGACTAGTTTTAAATACTCGCATATGAATGTACTATGCATATAGCCATGACTCACTGGAGCTGGCTAGCCATGGAAACAAGACCGTTACCGGAAACAACAGCGAATATTTGTGGAAATATAATTTTTAACGAGTTTCAATTTTCGGTTGGGCATTGTTAATGCCACATAAATTGCCCCGAGAGCGGAAATAGACAGTCACGCCTGAGAGGTTGAAGCAGACCACGGGGAATGGGAATAGGACTTGCAGCAGGAGTAAGGATCGCGGCCACGGCCACGGCCCACGTGGCTGGCGCACCCCGGCTGGCGTTTGCCAGCTTTCAAGCTGGACGTAATCACGAGCCATAAAATGCACTTCCGCTTGAAAGTTGCCCCTGTACCTAGGTCCATGTTCCTACCCCTCTCGAGGGTGAGGTGAATGCGCAGTGCGCACCCCCAGAGACGAAAGACGAAGGACTAAAAACGCCTCGTTTCGTCGCACCATTGGGCGTGTGCCAAGACGCAGGACTCGCGCGACTATGATGATTTGGATGATGATATGCAGGAATGTGATCTATAGCCCATGTAAATGGGACACGCCCACTGCAAGCATTATGCAAATTCTGTTCGGCCGGACACGTGCAAGGGGATCCTCACTATAGGATCACTGTAGGGTAGGATCGCTGACCCGCCCCAGAACGAAGCGGTCCGCTCCATAAGGAAGTGAATGCGCTGATCGTGTGGATGATGATGATGACAGGAAGCATATCGTCTTGCCCGAAAATTCCAATATTTTTCCCTAAAAAAAAAGGAGAGGAAACCAAAGGAGGACTTCTTACTTCTATTAGGTAGGAGGAACTCGAAGGACCAGGACCAGAGGACCAGGGCACAATGCGAAATGTGATTGTATGTCAGCTTAAGATAAAACCAGGAAACGCAATGAAAGAAACCCTGAATGAGAGTGAAACTCTCGTTCTCGTCTCTCGTCGTCGAGGCTGATGGCTGATGGCTGATCTCGTCTCGTGTCTCATTGTTACCGGATATCAAAAGAAGCTTAGCCAAGAAGCAGGACCTGCTGGGATATACATACATATTGTATATGGGATATGCAATCCCCTGGACAGGCGGACGGACTGGACAGTAGGTGTCAAAATACGGAGCTAAGCCAATGTCCTCTAATAGGCTAGCCTGCTAGGCTGCGAGTTTTATGCAATCTTAGCTAAGACTTCAAGCGAATGTCCTTATTCCGGGGGATACACAGAGAGATCGGACACCCGAACAGGGACTAGGTACATATATCCTCCACCTCCACTTCTCTCAAATGACAGAGAGATCAGAAAGAGCACTGAACTGATCTTCGGGCAATTGCAATAAATTGAGTTTCAGAGTTTAATGGAACCAGAGCCCGAGACCCCGGGGCCGACCCCGAGGGCCCGAGGGCCAAGAGCCAGGAAGTAGTAACTTCTTTTGTGCGCCACTTTAGAGAGAGAGAGACATGTCCGCAGGAAGTGCGTATTTGTTTTGCATCTTTCGGGACAGAGACACCGACCGAGAGTCCTTAAAGTGTCCTCGGCGATCCTTTTGCTTTCGTTTATTTATTTTTGTAGATGCTGCGCGCCTTCGTATTCGGAAATACGAGCCAAATGTTATTCTATCATGTCGCAATTCAAAGGAAACGAGCAAGGACACTCCCTCCCACTCCCTCGCGACTACGAGGACACTTGTAAGAGTGTCCCTCAACTTGTAGTTGCATTCCTCCAGGTTCTCGTACGCGTACTCGTACTCGTACTCATAGAACCAAACCATTTGAGTTATGTGACTTTATGACGGCGTCCCAGCCGCGCATCGCTGGCCAAGATTTATGACCCATGTGTCAAAATACGAGAGCCCATGTTGCACTCTAACTGCGAGGGCATTTCCATTTCCATCTCTATCTATCGAACCATCCGTCCAACCATCGATCATCTATGGTACATAGAACGTGCGACCGACGCTCGAACTCTGACTTTTTGTCAAATTTCGCACTTAACCGGGGCGTCAAGTGGCACTGGAAGTTGTACTTCTACAAGTAGTTGTAGTTCTTGTCAGTCCCTGCCCATTACTTCTTGGTAGCTTGTTAATGAGGCGACACAGAGAGGGCTACCAGTACAGGGATCCAATGTCTGTCTGGACTCTGGGCCCTGGGCTCTGACTGGCCATCGATTCACCAATTGAGTTGTTGTCCAAGCGATTCGTCGAAGGGACATCTACTTGGGATACCAGGAAGGTGAACCAGAAGAATCGTTTAACGATGACAATATATTTACAAGGGAATGGAGCAGATCGCATAGATCAGAGATCGAATTTTTAAGACCTTAGGGAGTCCCTTTGAGATCAATAATCAAAAACGAAAACAAAAGTCCTTCAGATTACTGATATCTTAACATTATGATATGCTTAACAAACCTCAACCCTAACTCGATAAAACAGTAACTGATAGTAGCTTGATGTGAGCTCGATCTTATTTCATCTTCTCATTGTCATTCACAGAAAGAGGCTAAGAAATAGGCAATAAATGATCACTTGAAGCTACATTCATAATTTCACCTTGATGATAAAAGATAAAAGAGAGTTATTTTACTTACAACTCTATTAATAGTTTACACAATTCAAATTTGAAGCTCCAAAACCTATGTATGATCTATGATCCTCACCTGAGGATCACTTGCAACAAGAGCTCAACATGAGGGATAGTTCCCCAGTTCCCTGATGGTCGAACAACTTATTTGTTTATGCCTGTCATCTCCACATGTATCTCGGCGATTAGCTAACAGAACGACACACGAATCCCCGGGAGAGGATCGGATCGGATGGGATCGCTGGAATCAGCTTGTAACGAGGCTATGCTGATGCACCCTCGCTCTGCAATCTTGTTCAACTATCTATTGCTATCTGTAGCATTTCACATTTGGCCCAAATATATTTCTGTAGCGATCCACAACGATCGATCGGCAGTGATTGTCCAAAACACACGCTACATTTAGCACAGTGTGAACTGCCGCCGGTAGTTAAATGACTTTACATTCATCCATATATCGGGCAGGGGATGGATAGAATTGGGATTGGGATTGGAATCGGGATAGCCATTTGGAAGGGGAATGGGAATGGGAATGGATTCTCAACTTTGACTCGATTGTTGACATGATGGGAACTCTGGAAAAACTAACCGCAGAATCAACAAAGGGCAGGCATTCACAATAAGGAGAACGCAGTTCTATCGGAGTGCACACGTGTCCGTGTCCGCGTCCGTGCCTGAGTCCGTATACAGGTTCTGGGTCCTATGTTCTCTTCGTCCTAGGCCCAATAAACTATCAGAGGCAATCAATGTCAGAGAGTTTTTAGAGCAAGCAAAAGCCAGATCGGAGTGAGAGAGACAATGGCGATGCTGATGCCGATATCGAGATCCATTCAAAAGACTTCACTGGAATATCCTATGGCATCCATTGTCTTGGATAAAAAGTGATTTCTTCTTTTATTTCGCTCCTGATTTCACGACATTCACGAAGTGCGCGTTTCACTTTACACTCGCTCATAGATACACGCTGACACACACACATACACACTCACAGTAATTGTCCATTGATGCCCATGGCCTAAAAAGGAGCTCGGAGATGGCTCTTATATGCTTGGAGCCCCGACACAAGTTCTGCGCTATCAAAAGGAGTCACAGGCTCCCGGAGTGAGCCATATCTGAAAAGACACCACGCATTACACGCTAATCCTCAGTAGGGTCCCGAGTTCCCGTTCCCTTTGGCAGGACATTAGCATTGAGAATTCGTCACAGGGTCGCGAAACGAGCGTATCCTATGCAGAGGTGTCACCGACACCGCTGGGCGTGGCAAATCTCCTACCTGTCCCAATGCGTTCCATTTCCCTTTTGGGAAACTTTCGGGGTTTTCCTCTACACACCTTTGTCCTGTTTCATGCGGCGGTTGGAAATTTGCGAAACGAACAAGTGAAATGGCGTGAAAAACCGGAACCGTGTGCGACCAACGAAAAGCGATTGAACACGTGTTTGTTGTTAAGGGCGCGACTATATATTCATGGCCTTTCAATCTCCC